TCTTTGAAGCCTACCCAAGATATGTCAAATAATAACATGCATTGTGCCGCAATAATATTAGAAACTGGCTCTTACAGTCAGAAACGAAGGATTAAGCAGCAATTCACGGACACCCGCCAACACATCTAATGAGAAAATTGACCAATGCTATCAAGTCTCGACCAATACAAAATTAAGTTGCAATTCTTCTGGGTGCAGATCTAGACGAAATTCCTAACCAGTCTCATTTTATAACTACAAACAGAGCATTTTGGAGTCCCTTTCAACATATTTGCTCAATAGGATCCAAATCCAGTCGGTCCAAGTAATACCATTCATGCAATCGAACGAGGAGGTGTTCGATTAATTTCCTACTTGCATTGAACAGATTCAAACAGAAACGAACAATATATGTATATACATATGCCAAAGTCAGAAACATCTGATCAAATGAAAAACATTAAGCAATTACTAAACTAGCTCAAAAATTGCAACTAACAAAGCATCACTAGCAAAAGCTTTCCACAATATCGATCCAATCCCTAACTACGACCGATTAAAACCAGCAAGCGATCCAAGTTTCTAAAGTTACCCAACATTGTAAACAATTTCTACTACGCTACTAAACGCATCAAAAGCCTGACATTTCGATTTTCGTCTCTGAGTTTCAACATCTCTATTCCATTCCACAAACTTGCACTGAACAGAGTCAATCAGGAACAACAATACATGTATATACAGATGCTGAAAAGTTATCTACAATATCGACCGAAATCCTTAATTATGTTCCATTAAACCAGCATTCTAATCCAAATTTCTAAAGCTACCCAACATTGTAAACAATTGTACTAAAGCAATAGAATATCAGCAACAATGTCGAATTCCAATCCATCTAAGCACCCCTAAGATTCAATTGCCTAGCAATCTCATATGAAATAAAAGCGTCAACAGCAGCATACTGAATCTGAGCATAAGTAAGCCACTGACTGTCCCACCTGCTCAACGTCACACTCTTCGGCTTCTCCAGCTCCTTCCCCAGCACCGCGCTCGCCAACCGCTTCAACCCGAAGTTCCTCAGCTCCCAAACCCCCAACCTATCCGCTGCTAAACCCCGAAGATCAACAACATTGGCGACGCGCAGCCTGTAGTCTAAAAGCAGCTTCTCGCAATCGCTCTCGATGCCGACGCCGACGAACGTGAAGGCGGGATTGGCGAGGAAAGTGGATAGGGAATGGGGAATCCAATCGGAGTGTAAAACCTGGAATATTAGGCAATTGGGGTCCAAGGAGACGCGGGGCAGCACCGTGCCTGCCGGGATTTGAAGGGAGCCGGGGTAGTTGGGGCCGGTGCAGAGCTGCAGGGTGGCGATCGGGTTGTGGTGGTAGCGGTTGTTGGGGCGCCACTCGACGTCGAGGCCGACAATGCGGTGGTTGGGGTTGGCGGGAGTGACGTTGGAGAGCCACGATTCCACCATGGCTGAGTTGCTGGTGACCATGGTGTGGACTCTGTCGTTGTAAAACGACACGCCGTACACGTTGTGGGTGTCGTACGGTAGCTCGTAGTCCACGATGCTGATCGCCATCCTCCTCTGGGATTGGTCAATGCGAGGGTTGGGTTTTGATAAAGTGGAAAACCGACCCCAAACGGAGCGTTTTCAATTCCAACGGTTATAAATAGACCCGTCGGCTGTCGCATGCATACAATCACTCGCAGGCTGCAGGTATCACCGTCGTCGAGAAAGCCACCGGAGAAAGATATTTCCAATTTTAATTCGCATGTATGATCAACCACATGTACTCCGATGAACGACCACATGTATGACCACTAAATAAATTTATAAGATATTTCCAATTGTAATTTACATGTAATTAATTGATTAGTATTAGTGTTTGAAATTTCGGCTAAAATCGCCTGATTCTCTCTGACATAACGGTTAAATATCAACAACTACAATGACATGTTTCATTTTAAATTTTCTATCATTTTTCTCGAATGCAACCCATATCGATATCGACATATAGCTCCTCACATTGGTCCATGAGATTAAAATCGATAAAACTGGTTCCTGAGTTTGTCTGCTATCAATCATTTTGATCATTTCGTAAAAAATCTCTGTTACGTAAGGAAAAAATCACATGGTCACCCTCGATTTTTGGCAAATCATTTTGGCTAATTGTTTATTATATTGGGGATATTTTTGCTATTTTGTTTCTTATTTAAAAGAGATTTTCACAAAAAAAACTAAAATGAGTGATGGACAAACTCAGCACTACTTATATCAATTTCAAATCAGAGGCTAAAGTGAGGAATGATTTCGTTATGATGGACTAGTTTGGGTAAAATGCCAATTAGAAATAATCAAACAACCTTTCGGTTTTATCCGAATCTTTGGTGGATTCCAGAAATCTTTGTTCTTCAATATTTACGTTTGTAATCCCATATATACCAGCACGAAATTTAGATTGTTTGTCACTCGTAATCACATTAAGAATAAGAAATAAAGTAATTAATCCAAACTCGTGAAACTCGTCCAACTAAACTAAAACTCGTCCAACTAAACTAACTTGAAAGCCAAAGATAAAGCAAAGAGTGTGTGTAAGGTGAGAAAAAAACCATGTGCAAAATAGGAGTGTGATATCCACACACCTCATTTTATTTTTCACACATCCTTCTAATTTTCGACCGTTGAATCGAATGAATTAAAAAATATCAACGGACAAACATTAACAAAGATGTGTGAGAAGTAATTTAGGATGTGTGATAGCACATCCCAATTGTCACATCCCGGCCCGGGTGGGACGACTTCCCGGGCCCGCTCCACTACCGTAGCACGATATTGTCCGCTTTGGGCTTACCATTCCCTCACGGTTTTGTTTCTGGGAACTCACACGAGAACTTCCCGATGGGTCACCCATCTTGGGAGTGCTCTCGTGCGCTACTCGCTTAACTTTGGAGTTCCTACGGAACCCAAAGCCAGTGAGCTCCCAAAAGGCCTCGTGCTAGGTAGAGATGAGAATATACATTTAAGGATCACTTCCCTGGGCGATGTGGGATGTCACAATCCACCCCCCTTAGGGGCCCGACGTCCTCGTCGGCACATCACGACCAGGGTTAGGCTCTGATACCAATGTCACATCCCGGCCCGGGTGGGACGACTTCCCGGGCCCGCTCCACTACCGTAGCACGATATTGTCCGCTTTGGGCTTTATTGTGACATCCCACATTGCCCAAGGGTGATCCTTAAATGTATATTCTCATCCCTACCTAGCACGAGGCCTTTTGGGAGCTCACTGGCTTCGGGTTCCGTAGGAGCTCCGAAGTTAAGCGAGTAGAGGGCTAGAGCAATCCCATGATGGGTGACCCACTGGGAAGTTGCTCGTGAGTTCCCAAAAACAAAACCGTGAGGGAATGGTAAGCCCAAAGCGGACAATATCGTGCTACGGTAGTGGAGCGGGCTCGGGAAGTCGTCCCACCCGGGCCGGGATGTGACATTGGTATCAGAGCCTAACCCTGGTCGCGTGTGTGCCGACGAGGACGTCGGGCCCCTAAGGGGGGTGGATTGTGACATCCCACATTGCCCAAGGGTGATCCTTAAATGTATATTCTCATCCCTACCTAGCACGAGGCCTTTTGGGAGCTCACTGGCTTCGGGTTCCGTAGGAGCTCCGAAGTTAAGCGAGTAGAGGGCTAGAGCAATCCCATGATGGGTGACCCACTGGGAAGTTGCTCGTGAGTTCCCAAAAACAAAACCGTGAGGGAATGGTAAGCCCAAAGCGGACAATATCGTGCTACGGTAGTGGAGCGGGCCCGGGAAGTCGTCCCACCCGGGCCGGGATGTGACACCAATTCAAATCACCTCCGTGAAAGGAAAATCGGCCGTTCTGACTTGTGAGCGAAAATATGTCAAATTGTAAAACACTCTAAAATTTGGGTGGGTAATTGTAAAATAGCTTAGTCTGTGTGGTAATTACCACAAAAGTGGAAATTTCATGTGGTAATTGTGCAATTTTCCGTGGAAGCAAAGGAGGAAAGAGCTACAGCGCTGCGTTTAAACTTGACGGTTGCAGTTGCAGAGATGGTATGAAAAGGGCAAACCGCCACAATCTCTCCCGGTTTTCTCAGCAACCAATCAGCTTCTTCACCGTTCACCAAAGCTAGCATTTTTCTGGTCCTCTCGTAATTCTTATCAGGTAATTTCTTCCTAACTTTTTGATTTCCTTACCATCTGTTTGGTTACCAAGAAAACTGAGAAAAGTAAATGGAAAGAACTGAAAGTTCAAGTCTGAACTTTGTGTATTTATACTATGTCTGGTGAAATTTTTGTTTCAATCGGTAAAAATTTTACTGGGACAGTGGGATTTGATGTAAAAATTTGCAATTATTGCTGTTATTTACGTTTTAGATTCTGCGTAACAAAACAGAGCATAAATTTAAGAGCTTTTAACTTTTTAGTTTTTAATTTAAGTCTACAGAGACCTCTAGGTTTGAACAATTTCATCTCTTTTCGGTTTCTTTAATTTCTACGTAATTTAAACATAAGCATAGATGATATTTTTTGTTTTTTGTGTAATTAGGTTACAAATGAGTTGTTGTTCGGAATCCAAGATTCGAGCCGGAGGTAGAGATAGGGTCAGGAAGTTACCGGATGCAGTTCTTTATCGTATACGTTTGGTTCTTGTACCAAAAGATGCTGTGAGGACTAGCACTTTGTCTACAAGATGGAAGGACATATGGGCCTCTGTTCCCAATCTGAACTTCGACAGCCGAGATTTCTCCTCCTCTACTGGCTTTTCAGAGTTTGTTTATTGTGTGCTTTTCTTTCGGGAATCAACAAGCATTAAAAAATTCCGCGTTTTTTATTCCCTTGCCGAGGATTTTAGCCAGGATTTCTCTCATGCTGATGGTTGGATTCGCACTGCCATTAGGCAAAAAGTTGCGGAACTTGATCTTTTGATTGAATCAGATGATGGTGAGATGTTGTTGCTGCCTTTTGAACCTGTGGTGGTCAAAGTGTATGGCTAATATTCCGACGTCTGGTTGTTTCCCATGTTTCAAAGTCCTCCATGTTACATTTCAGTATCCTCAAAATCACTCAGTGGAAGTCGCCCCTGTACTTGAAGATTTGAACTTTGACTGAGATCTTGGAGAAGTATTTAGCTTTGACATCTCTGCACATGAACTGAAGTGGATAAGAATAAGTTTTTAGAACTCCATTTGGTCTTTCAAGCTACAAAGCTTCAAAAATTTCATCTCAATGAGGACCTTTTGTCAAAATATATCCTGGAGGATACAAAACCCCTAGTCAAAGCCAAGATTTTTGTCAATTGGAGGTACCAAGACGATGAACAATATGCATTTTGTAACCGTATGCATAAGCTTCTGGCCGGAATTTCCACTGCCAAATATCTGTATTTTTAGGGTCATATTTTTAAGGTAAGCATATCCTAACTTGTTCTGTGCATGACATATTGTCATTATGTATGATAGATTGAAAGAAACTCACTACTATGGTTTTGGTATGGAAAGGAAATAATAAAGATGCTTAATGCCACCTGCATGAAAAGATTTTCGCTTGCATTATGGCAGGTACCAAACATAGCTTTATAACTGAAGTCGTTTTCCCCTTTTGGCAACTATGATTCCAAATAGTATATTATGCATGACCAAATGTTTCATATTCACACGAATTTCTGTTTGATTAATGCTTTATATTTCACGAAGGAGTTTTGTTTACTTGAGAAAATTGATACTGCTTGCTCCTGTCTGCTGCTTCTGGTTGAAACACCTAATAGAGTCGGTCAAGAGTACACCTGGTCTAGAATGTCTTGTCTTAGAAAATGAGTATTATAATCAGCCCACATCCAATGAAGAATGCTTAGGCGTAATGCTTGAAGAAATCTGATATATATATCTTCGGATATATATCCGTACAGCTTAATTGGAGTGCATCAGAATTTCTACCTTCTTGTTTGTTATCACAGCTCAAAACTGTCGCTATAAGGGCAGTCAAGGCACGAGTAGATGAGATTGAAGTAGCAAAGTATTTGCTTAAGAATGGTGAAGTCTTGAAGAAGATGACTTTTCATGCTCCTGAATTTGGATTAACAAAGAGAAGGTATACAAGCAAATTTTAATGTTTTGAAAGGGGTTCGAAGACGTGTCAAGTTGAATTTATCAAAGTGACACTGTTGGCTTTATAAGGGTTTTTATCTAGGAATTTAATTTTAGCTTTGTTGATGTTTGAAATGGAAACAATGGATGCTTCGTTGAAGATGATCTTTTAGCATGAGTCTGTTATCAAGGGTGAACATAAATATGCAGTCTCTTTGTTTTTCATTGCATAAATTCTTCATATACTGTAGAATTAAAATTGCTTAGGACTTGGAGAGGGGTCATGTGTGAATCTCAGGCTCTATGCAATGTTTAAGGTGAAGAATTTGGTCCTGTTGGTCTGGTGTAGTGCAAAGTGGCTCACTTTATGGATGCACATGATTTTCTGAATTTTATTATTTCAGTATGAATAGGATTGCTTACTTTCTTCCTGCTAATGTGCAAAAAAACCATAGAGGGGCTCAATAAACAAGGAAAATTTACATCTATAGAATATTTCTAACAAAAATGGACAACTTATGAATTCTAATAAATACAAAATAGAACTGAGTGGACGGAAAACTAAAGTGTTCCGGGTATATATAGATCTTTATTGACTCCTCAGCCCCCTCAAACTTTCCGCCGGACAAAACTGAAAACCTTAAGATCAAAATTTTGATCCCCAATTGGCACCTCGTTAAGACAACGAATCGAAGGTCTTACAAGCCTCTACAAGAGCAAAGGTGAGCAATAATCGCAACCCTTAGCCTTATTTTGAAACCCCTTTCCTTTTCCCGTGTGGTTTGTCAAAATGAAATATACGTTTGGAATGTAATCTTTTTATTTCAATTATCAGCTGAAAAGAATCACTGATTGCGAGAAATCCAAGGGTAACAGGCATATCATCTTATATATAAGATTCCAACTAGGAAAGAGCTTCTTCATCCCAAATTACTGCATCCGAACAATTCAAATTTCATTGCATGTTTTGCAAACTCTCATCCAATTTTTGCATGTTTTAGGTACGTGGTGGTGCAAAGGGGAAGGGCCATTTCCACCATAACTTCCCCCTTGTCATTACTCATTATGTTGTTTATAATTTGTTTTAGTACCAAGTCAAATGTGTGTTCTGTTTTGTGCTTCACTCTCATACTTCAGAGCGGTGACAACCAATTCATATTTTCCCCGGGCCATCACAGCAGCTCAGCTCTTACAAGGTATAATATTTTGACTACCTTACCGTTCCCATCTGTTTGGTACCCAAAACTGCCAAATTAATAGAGGAGTAGATAAATTTAAGTCTTACCGTTTCTGTTGATTGTCTCTAGGAAAGAAGAATCTTTATTTTGTTGATTCTATTTCCTCATTGAATAAAGCATCCAGAACAATGTTGTGGTATCGAATATTTTCTTCTTGGATCTGTTTGTTTCCATTAAGTAATAAAAATTTCTTGGCAAAGTGGAATTTCATGGGTGGAATATATCTGTGAAAGGCAATTATCATTCGAAGACATTATGGTTAAATGCAGTGTTGTTGCCGCCATTATTTGTAAATGCTTGATATGAAATATCAAAATATATTATACTAAAATGTTGGCGCATTTACTTCCCCATTAGATTCTAGTAACCATATGCTGAGCTTAAATAAAGATTTTATTTGTTTTCTTTTTTCAATTTTAACTGAAGGGTACAAATGAGTTCGAGGCCAATGCATCAAGGAGTTAGTGATAGGATAAGTGAATTACCAAATGATGTTCTTTGTCGTACACTTTCGTTTCTTCCAACGAAGTATGCTGTGAGGACCACTGTTTTGTCGAAGAAATGGAAGAACATATGGACTTCCGTACCCAATCTATACTTTTGTGATAATGACTACCCTGATGTTAATGCCTTTATGGCATTTGTGGATCGTGTACTTGACTCTCATGACTTATCACGCATCCAAAAATTCTGTCTTCATTCTTCCTGCTTTGACGTCGAACCGTCTATTCTTAATCGTTGGATATGCACTGCAATTAGACACAATGTTCGTGAACTTGATCTTTTTGTTCACTCAGATGCAGAAGATTATTTTGAATTGCCTCAGACCCTTTTCACGAGCAAAAACCTAGAAGTTTTGAAGCTGCAATTGAATTTTATTGCCAATCCTCCTGCCTCAAAGTGTTTCCCAAGTCTCAAGTCCCTCTGTGTTGTAATTCAGCATCCTGAAGGTATCTCAGTGAAGATGTTTTTTTCTTACCTCCCTGTACTTGAAGATTTGGAAATACAGGGATACCTTGAATATTATGATGTGGATGTCAACGTCTCAGCACCAGAACTGAGGAAATTAGTAATAAATTTAGCGTATGGAAATGCTTATGGTGGCAATGATCATAAATTATGTGTTAATGCTCCAAAACTTGAATTCCTTGACGTCAAGCTGGATAGCTTGTCAAAGTTTTTATTGTTAATCAATGCAAATTCCGCCGTCAAGGCAAATGTTGACCTCCTGTACGAAGAACTGTCCAATGGTGAATCTGCAGATGTGGAATATAGTCTCCAGTATAAAATGCAGGCTGATCGTGCCATTGATATTCTGAAAAATATCTCCAATGTGAAGTACCTGTCTCCTTCAATTCGTAATTTGGAGGTATGTTGTCTTTGACTTGTTTCGTTACGTTATATTTGGGACAGAATTATGTGTAGCAAATGTTCAATTCTTGCACGAATATCTTTTGTGATCTTTACTTTGATCCTATTTTGATGTAGGGTGATTTGCCTGCTTTTGACAATTTGAACCAATTGAACCTGGTTTTTTATGATTGCGGTTACTGGGGATTTCTAATAAAGTTATCAGTAAATCACCTGACCTACAACATCTCGTCTTTGAACACAAGGTAAGATGTACTTCCACTTATGCTACTCTTTTAATAACATGGTAGCCTTTTGGATTCTCATGCTTTCATTCTTTCTTTTGAATACCTTTTAGGATTGTAGCATATGCAATGAAGTAGACTTCCGGCAAGTACTTAATCCACCAAAGTTTGCGCCGCTTTCTCTGATGGTGCACCTCAAAACAATCACTGTAAACGGATTCAAGGGAAGGCGGGAAGAGGTGCAAGTGGTAAAGTATTTGTTAGAGAACCGGACCTGTCTACAGAAGATGATCATTTCTATTAAAGCGATTCCAGGTCATCTATTTGACAACTTATACAGGGAAGTTTTACAGTTTCCAAAGGTGTTCGATTGTCAAGTTGAAATGCGATTGTGGGTTTCAGAACTGAATTATTATCCAGTGTGTTTCTAGGATTCGGGAAAGAAAAAACAATCCTCTTTCGTTTTAGAAGGTGATCGGGCGTTTGCGGTTTGTTTTTCTGTGCTATATTTTCTTGTATCAACTTTCGATAGGTTCTTCAGACTCTCTGGGAATTCGACTGTGGACTTGCCTACGGTGATGATGATGATAGAAGGGGCAATATATAATACTGTTTTGCAGACGTTGCCATTTTCTTGAACAGTTGTTAATCTTGCATCTTTGTAATGCCGTTTTTCTCCATTGTTAACATCCAAGGATAAAGGGACAATATTTTTACACTCATTTTGAGCCATTAGATTTTGTAACATTCACGGTTAATGATTACGAGTGATAAGAGAATGAGCTAAACATCACAATGAGTTAGCCATAATATTTTGGTTCGAATTTGCCTTTAGTGAGAGTTGAATCTAAAGGCTCTTACTTACAAGATAAATATCATTAGACTGGAGCACTAAGCTACAAATTTAGGTCAATTGTAGAGTTAAATATAATTCTTGTATTTCCTCAGAGTGCAAATCCTACTTTAAACTCTAGACATATTCGAACTCATCTAACTTTAGACATGGCACTAAAGTCATACATGACCTCAAATTTTCCGGTGCATTGATTTAACTTTAAAATTTTCGACTGATTCGAGATGATCTAATAATCAATTTTACTTCAGATATTTTATTTCATCTTCGGTTGAGGGTAAATGTAACTTTTGGCCTCACAAAAATTCTCTCGTGATCGTGGACCTAATTATTCTCTTTTGTTGTGAAATCGACGGTGTGTGTAGTGGAATAAATGAAACAAGACACAAAGTTTAGGATGTTCCTCTACAATCAGTATGACTGGAGTATGTCATCGGCGCAGCGGCGGTGCTTTCATTATAATTTGGAATAATAAGAGTACAAAGATAACTCTCTATATTCTCTCCTATCTTTTTTTCTCTCTGCCGTGAGCCTTGTGGCTTCTCTCTATTTCTTTTGTGTTGTGTGGGGTGTTGAATTTATACAGAAAGTGTGAGCAGTGAAAAACAAGCTTCGGCAGCTTCCTAGAAAAAATAAATGTGGAAGACAGCCCTTATTCCCATTTGTAGCTTAGTGGATTAGTGGCCAGCATGGACATCCACCATATTTATAACATTCCCCTTTGGATAACCATAAGTCTTCGATTGACTCGTTAAAATCTTGATTTGTTTTGGATGCTCCCCCTGATTTCAAATCCTTTAGACTGATGTTCCCCCCCCCCCCCGGCCCCAAGATGATGTACCTTTTTCACTTGCCTTATATGTAGTTTCGGGTTTGGTGAAGTACAGTACAAACCTAATGGGAGTCCTTCCAAGTCTTTGAGTGATGAGAGTTGTCGAAAGAGGTGTTTTACTTGTTGTTGACTTTCCACAGGCTTGGTCTTGAACTGGGCTGGAGGGTTTCTTAAAGGGTCGACAAGGTTTGGTCTTGAATGAAACGGACCACTAACGGTTTCACGTGGTGGATGATCTTCTAAAACATCACTTTTCAGCAACTCATCCATGCTTGGCAGCTTCAGTGTAAAGAGCCAACATTATGTCAACTATTTTGAGGTATTTATTGAGGAAATTCGTGACCTAGCAACAGTTGAAGATGAATATTCGAGAGCGATGCTATGTAAGCAATCAGGCAAAGGTTCTAGGCAATTAGTTCCAGATTGGAAGTTTGATTTCAAGTTCTGACTAATTGCTTTCTTTCTCCTTGTCTTGCAGGTAAGAGCAAGGGTAAAGAAAAAGACAGAGAAAAAGTATGATATGAGATACTCTTGCTCTCGATCCTAATGATATGAAATATTTTTGCTCATGAAGAAAACAGTAGAAGATTTTGATACTGATGCAAAAACTTCTCGATCAAAACTATTTTCTTGCTGAGGAAATGAGCTGAGCATTTTTAGGAACTTGGTTGAAGAGGTATTCTCGAAGAGGAGGAAAGCTGAGTATTTCGAGATGCTTTGTTGAAGATGCATTCTCGGAGAAGATGAAGAGTTAGGCATTCTTGCAGGTCTGCCTTGTTATGGAGGACGGAAGTCGACACATATAGGGATTTCTCAATAGCAAGTAATGGTGATGTTAGGACCATTTCCTTTACGCTTGTTGGCAACAGTGGTGTAGTTGGAACAATAAAATTCACATGTTTCAACTTTGTTAGAGATTTCTGACAAAGTTGCAACTTGCAAATGATATCAAAAAGCTGAGATTGCGTCTAAAAAGTGTCAATGAACTTTATTCAAGAAAATTCGACTTTTGAAATTTGGAGAATGGTGCCTCTTCTATTTTTGAACAAATAGCCCTGTTGCCTCTCCTTTTATCAGAGATATCAATTTTGTTCAAAAACACTCAGAGAGTTGCTGTCTGTAGAAATTTCCCCTTTTGGCATTTCTGAGATTTCAATTTGTCTGACCTCCTTTTCCTTTATCATTACTGAAAATGGCTTGCCCATCTGACCATTGTTTTAATTTGAATATTGTGGAAGATGCAGACATTTATCCTCAAGACAATGTATGGCACCTATCTTTCTTATCATCTAATAGTCCTCTTACAATTGGGGACTCTATGATGAAGAATAACATAACCGCTACAGTGGTAGCTAGGAATCTTTTCACTCCCAAGAATAATAGCATGCTTTCAAAACGGTCTAATGAATTGGTTGTTCAAGACTCTCTGGCTTTAAGCTTTCAGTGTGCGGGTTCTGTATCCAATATGGGCCAACGTCTACTTGCTCAAACTCGCCAAGTTGAAAAATGAATGGCTAAAGTGGCAAGTCTTAGACAAGATATTAAAGGGCTCAAGCATGAGAATGGAGAGTTGCACATGCTTGCAAATAATTACTCAACAAGCATAAAAAGAATGCTCGACCAGCTGCAGGAATCTGAAAGTCAGATCCTAACTAACCATCAAAGGTTTATGGCTCTATTCCAAAGACACTCATTGTCTCAGTCGTTTGGAGTTCCACCAAGTACTAATACTCCAAATAATTAACCCATGGTGCTTCTTCTTTCTGGAGTTTTTGCCAAGTACTAAGGTGTCTCATGATCAATCTCCAGTGCCTCCCTCTTTTGAGGTTCTGTTAAGTACTATGACTTCACAAGAGCAACCTTAGTGAAGGCTTCTGTAACAACCCGTCCCAATTTTATCGGAACAAAGGGGATATTTTCATGAAATTTCACCTTGGGCTAGATCTTCTTCTTTTAAAATTGGTTTTTGGGTCTTAATTGGTGAGCCCAAGGGGCCCACCCCCTGTTCTGTTCCCCGGTTCCCTTTCCTTTTCTTTTATTTTTCTGAAATGTCTCTCTCTTCTCTCTTAGTTCTCTCTTCTCTCTCTTTCTCCCTCTGTGATCTCTCCCTTCTCTCTCGAAACCCTATCACCCTTCGATCAACCCACACACGCACCCATGCCCACACCTCATTAACGACGACAGCATCACCATCATCACCACGTTAGCTCTCTCTCTCTTTATCTCTGTGGAGCACAGAGAAACTCCGGCAACTTCCTTGTCCTTCAGTTTTGGGTAAGCCTCAAAACACTCCAAATTCTTCTTTTTTCATCCCTATAGTTCTTTTTCTAACCCCGTGGTTGTGTTTTTGGATGTCAAACCATGAAGAAACCATCTCAGAGACATTTCCCCAGTTTTTTGTGGAGCACTGCCTCTTTCGAGGCAATTTTCGGCCAAACCACGATGAGTTGGCTGGCATGCAAGGTATCAATCTCTTTGTCTCATCGAGTACTACACATTCCATTTTGTTTCACCCAATTTCGTTGAGTATTGAAGAAGTTATATCCATTTGAATCTTACCCAATTTCCGGCGGACACTAGTGGTTTCCAGGCCATTTTCTGGCCAACTCCGGCCACGATGATGGGAACCAAGGGTATATCTCGATTCCTTACTTTCGGGGCTTCAATTTGATATATTAAATGACATGTTTTGGTTGAGTTTTGAGCTCCATCGGAGCTCGGGATCCTTCTGGCCGAATTTCGGCCTTCTCCTTCCTTTGGGTCCGACGATCCATGTTCTGAACTCAGACCGGGCTTTCAAGCCCAGATCCTTTTGAACCAGGCTCTTTGGGTCGTACCAAACCTAGGGCCTTAGGCTTGTTATCCTTTTAAATCCAACCCAATTACCTAAACCCAAGCCCATTTTCTTTTTAGTTTGTTTTATTTTTATTCCTGTTTAAATTAAAGGCCTTTGGGCCGTTTCCTTTAGCGCCTTCGGCCCGTAAACCCTAAAACCCATTAAACCCAAACCCTTTAAGCCCAACCCAGTCCAACCCAAAACGCTTGACCCGGATCTATTGACTTTGACCCGGTCTGACCGTTGACTTTTTGGGTTTTCGTATGAGACCCTTCCTAGGCTAATTTCGACGTCCTGAACCCATTTCCAATGTCTGTTTTCCCAAAATAAATCATTTTAGTAAGGTTTGACTAAATATACCCTTTATGTGTTTAGGAGCAATTAATTGTGGCGTTTCCGTCTTCACTAGTTGCGTGGCTCTTCGGCAGCTAAGTACTGTGAGTGAACCCCTTCTAAAAGTGCATGTTTTAATGGTAGAAATGCATACATGGAAAAGCATGATTTCACAATTATGTTTTATGAAATGCTTTGAGATAACATGCTTATTGAGACTGGTTTGAATTATTACTACTTTTCCTATAACCCATGTTCTTATAGAATATCTGATGGATGACGATATGATATTTAGAACATGTTTAGAACACTTCTTTATAGTATAGATGATTGATAACTTTATACTATGAAGTTACTTTTCAATATATGTATGTTCACTGGTTTTGTACTTACCTGGTGGTCATTTCCGCTACGGGACGTAGGGATAAATCTGGTCCGTCCCGGGTGACGGTTTGGTGTTGGCATAGGGCCTGAAGTGTGTTTTCTCTGGCTATTTAGCACAGGGACGGGGAGCCGACATGGGGCCTAGAGTGTATTTTCCTCTTACTGTCTACTTAGAGACAGGGAGCCGGTATGGGGCTTGGGGGTTATCGGACATTCACTAGTAATTATTATATATATACAAGTTATGATTTGAGACATTGCACAGCATGCTAGGTTTCGGAAAACCTATGTTTATCATAATATATGCGTTTTCATAAAACCTGAGGGTTAGTACGTTGATAACTATTTTATTTTATATATATATATATATCAATTTGGTCCACTCATGTTTGTTTTGCGCCCCCTTCAGGACTTAGAATCGAGGCATACAATCCCAGCGTCAAGGCACTTCCACATCGGCATCTTCGAGCCCTCTTGGTGTAGGACCCATTCCTTTATTTCATTCAATTTTATATTATTTCTTTTAGTGTTTTAGTTAGTTGTATGCTCTGAACATATTCCTTAAATGCATATTCATTATTCTTTTATATTTATAAGCCTTATATATCCCTTGTTTTCAACATTTGCACTAAGTAAATGGCTTTCGTCACCTTCGGGTGCCGGCCAGCACGTGCCTATCCTAGTATTTGGGGAATATCAGGATCGGAGCATGTCAGCTCCCTCTATTTTTTTTTTCTTTTTTTTTCTTTTGTAGTTGTAACTCATGTGTATGCACATGTCTGTAATTTCATGGAGATATCAATAAATAAACTTCATTTTATTCCAATACCTATATGTTGATATTGTGCCTCACAGGAAATGCTTCATCTTATTCATTGTATTGTGCTAAATACAATAAAACATATAGTTCACTAAGATGTAGTATTTCTGGACCAAATATCAGTTCATTTTTTCCTTCACGAAGATGAATGATCCTTCGTAGTGTCAAAATATCGATTAATTATTTGAGTATTCAACTCATGATCTTTAATCCATATTGTTTTTTAATATCATAAACATCATGGATAAGATTCGTGTTGGCATATTGTTTGATTTGCAGCTCGTGACAATATTTCCTTTAACACTTTATAATATTTCTAGACTCTTTAGGAATCCCAATCTAATATCATCAACTTTTGCAAGAGATTTAGTATGTTGCAACAATATCATAATGATAGTACTCACTAAGGCAATTTATACCATCCATTGGTATTGAGTACATAATTTATGTTTTACCCTTCCAAGGCTTACTTCAAGCAATTTGAATCCTTTAGGGATTTTCTACACTTCATGACACATTCTTCTTTGAAATTTATACAAAGCAACTTGCTTCCATGTATACTTGAGGGATTTACTTGTGGAGATATGCTTCAGGCATATATATATTTCTCCACTGAAATGAACAAGTTTCACAATGAGAAATCATGTTTCCAGGAGTGTAAGTTTCACAATGAAAAATCATGTTTCCAGGAGTGTATTACAATTTCAGGTTTTAACTAGGAACCTTATGTCATGTCAAATTAGTGTCTTTCATTGTATTACAAATGCTCATATGTAACTTTTTGGGTTCAACATCATTTGGCCATTTATATATATATATATATATAGGTTAATTTTCCCACGTTCTTACAAAATTGTAATGGAATTGTCTTTCTCTATTTTGGCCAATAATTTTTCCTTTCATTGACAAAAAAGAATGAGACTCACTATCAACACAACTCATTGATGAATTTAGTAGCTACTTCTAAAAACCAAAATTACCATTGGTTATCATCAATCCATGATCTCATATTCTCATCTGCATGCGCATGCATAAAAAACTTTTTATTTATTTGGATATCAATTGCCTCTTCAAGGGCATTATACTATCTTTTTCAGGATAATCATAGTTTAGAGAATGCGGATCATAACCTTCTCTTGAGCATTATAGAGCTTGTATTTTAATCTCCACTTTCGGGAGTTGAGTCATTGGAACCTATACGTCTATCATGCATCATGCATGGGACATCAAAATTCCAATGTCCGCGGATTGTCCTTTTGGGATGTGTATCCATGAGGCGACTGTCATGCTTCCGGCATGCAATAGTTATGCTTCGGGAATGCAATAGTTTAATAGTGCCATTTTCTTCCTTTTTCTAAAGACTGAATCATTTGAGTATGAAGGTCTGCCACTTTTTAGGCGTGTAACAAATAAATCATTTGCTGCCACATTATTTTGTCTAATAGGGACATCAATTCTTGTAGGCACATTTACAACTAGTAGATGTTGTTTTATCATTTTCGTTGCATCATTGAATGCACCTAGCATTTGATTGGCAATATTTTGAAGATGAACAATTATTCTCGCTTTATTTTCACATTGATTGCTTCGTGAATCAAAATAAGACAAGGTGGGTACATCCCCGTCAATTCTTGTCGTTCTTCTGGAACAACCTTTTGTCCTCCTAATGGCGGAAAAACTGTCTTATCAAAGTGATAATCCGCAAACCGAGCGGTAAACATATCCCCAATCAAGGGTTCCAAATATTGAATGATAGATGGTGAATCAAATTCAATATAAATTCTTAGTCTGCATTGAGGCCTCATGTTAGTATGTTGTGGCAGAGCAATATGCACATCGATAACATAACCAAAAAATTCGTAAATGTGTAATGTTTGGCTAGTACCCAAACATGAGTTGTACTAAGAAGTATTGATGGTTGGCAAAAGGTCACAATCAAACTAATAATGCATCATGTAAAATGACATGTCCTCATGTAAAAACTGATAATTTCATTTTCATGAACAGAGCGCGGTTGATCAATTTCATCCACTTAATAAATGCTTCTGCTAAACCATTTTGAGTATAAACATGAGAAACTTTTGGTCTTTATTTAATAATCTGTAGACTGAGACTCTTATGGCCATTATTTTAATTTAATTGAGGAACTGCTACTCTCTTAGTTGATTCAAAAACTTCAGGTTCTGATTAGATTAAGGAACTTCGGATCCTATACATATACTCATCAAAACACAATGTAGTATACTAAATAAATTAAAGTAGTAGGCAGTAATTTCAGCCATGGTAAATAAATTGTTTTAAAGTAAATAAAGTTTGTGACAATGACTTTAATTCAGCACCATTCACATAAATAAATCAAAGCTTAAAACAAAGGGTAATAATTCACCCCACTGTAAATAAATTGCTTTTAAATAAATAGAACTTGTGATAGGGCTTTAAACCAACACCATTCACATAAATAAAGCAATAATAAATCGGTGATGATTAAGTTTCCATCATTTTTTATCTTTTCAGATGGTGCAACACTATACAAAAGTTTTTTTTTATATTATTATTTTGTCTGCACCCAATCCATAATCTCCTTTTTTTTATTATTATTATTATTTCTTATTCATTCACATGGTGCAGTGCACCATCCCATAACCTTTTTTTTTTTTTGGGTAAATTATAGTTTACCACCTCGGGTTTGAGATCTATTTCAACCTTATACAACATCTTCAAAACATTTTACTTTCAACCTCACATACCATTTTATTTCAAAATAATACCTCCGTTACATTTTCCATCCATTGGTGCGTTAAGAGCTGACGTGGCTGTCATATTTGTGCCACGTGACTGAACACTTAATAAAAAATTTAAAATATAAAAATAATTAATTATTAAAAAAAAACCTAGAAAATCCATTCCCACAACCTCTCTGCAACTCAGACCCTCTCTTCCTCCATCTCCACCTCCCTCCCATGGCCAATTCACCCCAACCCTACCATTGACCCAAAAGCATATCAACACAAAATCCATGCCTCCCTTCCCATTTCCACCCATTCATCCACCCACCACCGCCATAAACCCCCCAAAAAACACCACCATGTTGATGTCGGCGTCCATGGATTCCTCCAATTAAGCAACCTGTATAATTTTTCTTCACCAAAACCCCAAAAGGGACAACAGATCTCACACCTTCGTCCATCTACATCAATCGCCAAAAACCAAAAATCCCTAATTTTTCAAAACTCGCCCCTAATTTTTCAAAACCCCGCCATCCAATTGAAAGGGCAAAGGAAGATTTCACAAAAATCTTACCTTGCCAAAGAGTCTGGAACTCTGCCTATTGAAGATGTCCGATTGCTAAAGGGGTGGGTGATGGGAAAAGAGGGTGCTCGGGGAAGATGAGGCAAGCTGAGCCTAGACGGTGCACAGTGGACAAAGACTAAACCCGGCATCCACGCTGAAGAACAAGAGAATGGAGGCAAGGGAAAACGTGGTATGAGGGGTTGCGGGGGAGGTGGGGGTGGGGTGGGATGGCGTGAGGCAAAGGAGAGGGAGTGGGTCGAGAGGGGGGAATAGTTTTTGGGTTTGATTAGGATTTTTTATTTTTATTTTTTATAAATAGGATAAATATTTTAATATTTTTAATGCATAAATATATTTTTGCAATGTGACACAAATTTGGTAGCCATGTCAGCACAAATGTGGATCTCATATTTGCCACATTATCACTTAACAGTTTACTTAACAGATTTTCTAACGGATGTATGAAATTGAAATAAAGTAATAACTAAATATATGAAATTAAAATGTTTTAAAAATGCTGTAAGGAATTGAAATCGATCACAAACTTAAAGGGGTAAAATGTAATTTACCTCTTTTTTTTTTTTTTTTTTTTTTTTTTTTTTAACTTTTCTACATGGTGCCCGATGCATCATCTCATCAGAAACCTTTATCCTTTCCTTCTTTTTTTTTTTTACTTTCTTTGTCGGTCTCTGCCAGTCTCGAACCCAGGCCAGCTGGGTTGTTGTGGAGGTCGCACAAATCCAATCCAGACAGTAGGAGCAGTGAAAAACAAGCTTCGGCAACTTCCTAGAAAAAGGAAATGTGGAAGACAACCCTTATTCCCACTTGTAGCTCAGTGGATTGGTGGCTGGCGTGGACATCCACCATATTTATAACATCTTTTCCATTTTCATCACCTTTTCAAACAAACAAATACAAAAGGATTTAAATGAAAAAATAGATAAAAAAAAAATAATAAACACCCAGCCGGAACCCAATTTCGCAGCCACCGCCTCCTGCCGAAGTTAACCACCACCACCGCCACCGCCATTGAATTCGGAGGAGTCCGATTCATTCAGCAAGAAGAGAGACAGAGAGAGATGGCGATGAAAGATGAGTTCATGGGGCAAATTGGCGGCAACCTAATACTTGAGGGGGTAAACAGTAGTTGAGAGTTGCAGAGAGAAAGTGGTGGTACTTTCGAGAGCTATCACTGAAGATCAGATCAGATCAGCTCTTAACAGGTGCAGTAATTACATTGCGACTTCCTTAATTACCAAGTTACCATTACATTACCATCTGTTTGGTTACCAAGAAAATATTTCAAGTCTTATCATTTCTGATCTTCGCTAGAGAAAGATGTAATCTTGAGTAGATAATCTTTAGTGGGGTTGATTGTTTCGTTTCCCTGATCGAATACAGTTATACTTGAACCTTTTCATCTAGGATCTGTTTGTTTCCATAAAGCAAGCGTTGAAGATAGGATTGGTGAATTACCATTACCAATGGGTTCGATATCAGACCATCAAGCAAGCGTTGAAGACAGGATCAGTGAATTACCTGATACGATCCTTTGTCACGTTCTTTCTTTCCTTGAAACGGTACATGCTGTCAGAACCACCGTTTTGTCTACGAGATGGAACAACTTATGGACTAAAGTTCCTAATCTACACTTTGATTATTATCCAAGTTTCTCTCCTAAATATGAAGATGAAGATGCAGATGTATGTCGCAATCATTTTATGACTTTCGTTGATCGTGTACTTTTCTTTCGTGACTCATCAAAAATCCAAAACTTCACTCTCAGCTGTTTCGAAGAATCTGATTTCACTCGAATTGATGGTTGGCTTTGCACTGCCACCAGGCGTAATGTTGTTAAACTTGATTTTGGTCTTCATAATATTTGTAAGTATGACCGCAGGGTTACTTTTTCGTTTCCTCAAAGCCTTTTCAAGTGCAAGACATTGGAGGTTTTGAAGCTTTCTTCAAACTGTACTACTTACTATCCTCCTACATCAGGGTGTTTTCCAAGTCTCAAATTCCTCCATATTACACTTCATAATTCTCATGATACCTCTGCCGGACAGCTCATTTCTTGTTGCCCTCTACTTGAAGGGTTGACTATTGATGGACATGTTGGCACTCGTGGAGATTCTGTGGATGTTCATTTCAACATTTCTGCTTCTAAATTGAAGACTTTGACAATAAGTTTGTCAGCTTATCCCACAAGTCCTTACAATGTTTTAATTAATGCTCCAAATCTGAAAAGCATTAATCTTAGCCATAATACTGTGGCCTATTACTCTTTCGAGAATGTAAGCTCTCTTGTCAATGCCAATATTGTTCTCGAAGCCTGTCAAGAAAAGGAACGAAGTACTGTCTTTGCCAATCGTGTCATTGCGCTTATGGGAGCAATTTCCAATGTTAAACATCTTTCTCTTTCAGGCGAATGTGCAGAAGTAAGTATACCCTGACTCATGTTCCTTTACACTGTTGCTTGTAGAGTTGTGTACCTTGCTTGATATCGGTCTTAGTGTTCTTTCTTCCCTAAACATACTTGGTGTTGTCATACGCCTTTATGATTTGAAATAGTAGGCGAAATAAATTTCTGAATGCGTTTATGTTTGATCAATGTTTATATATTTCATGAAGGGTTGTTGTCATCAATACTTCCTCCCAGAATACTTCCTCCCAGAGGAGTTGGTTCTGCAGGATTGCTGTTTCTGGGATGTGCTACCAGCAGTGCTCCAGATATCACATAATCTACAACATCTTGTCTTGGAAGATGTGAGTATGATCGATGTGTTTACACTCTGTGTGTTTTATGCCAACTTGCACCTGTTAAAGTTTTTCATTTCACTCTTTTTGAATAATTGTCAGAGCACCGAATTTAGGTCAAGGTTCCCAGAGCATCAGTGGTATCCACCAGAATGTGTGCCTGTTTGTTTGTTTCGGCTGAAGACTATCTCCATACGGAGATTCCAGGGACGACATGTTGAAATGGCAGTGGCAAAGTATTTATTGAAGAATTGTAAAGTTTTGAGTAAAATGGCAATATATGCAGGTCATGGGATTACAGAAGAGAAGAAGTTACACCAGGTATTTGCCATGTTTGAAAGGGGCTCAACGACTTGTGAAGTTGAAATCATTGAAGCGTAATTTGGTTTCTTCAAGCACTTTATATTCAAAGTGCATTTGAGATTTGGCACAAATCCATTTTCGAGTTTGTAACGGCATGAACTATTGTGAAAGAAGATAAGTGAATCGCTTTGATTTTTGCAGATGCTTGTTTACGGTTGTGTAGATTCCTTATCAAGGGTGAGTTGCAGATATTTGCGGCTTTAAGCTTTTTTCAGTTGCTTTGCTTTTCATATTTTTCCGGCAATGCAATGCAATTGAACAGGAAAGGAAGTATGATTCTAATTTGATAGCACAGTTGTTTCAGGTAGCATGATGTTCTTTTACTTTCCTGTTCAATTGCATTGCCTTGATGAGCTCATTAAGAATGATTCTAATTTGATAGCACAGTTGTTTCAGGTAGCATGATGTTCTTTTACTTCAATTTATTTTTCTGGTTTTTAGCAGATGCTATCTTTCTTAGAAATTAATGTTTTGTACATCTTGGTTGCTAGTAATGATAGTTTAGCTGCTCTTTTTAGTTGCGTATTTTGTTCGCTATAATTTGGTATATAACAAGGTATGTTTCTTGTCTCATGGCCATTTTTCAGAGGTTGGAGCAGGGGCTGAAAGTTGTTTGCGTGTTTAAGGGTTGGTTGGCTTGCGAGGAACTCAAATGTAATGATATTTGTTACATTTTTAGATTCTTAGATTTGGTTGAGTTCATTTTTATGGGAAGAAAAAATGTATTAGGAATTGTTTTCATTATCAGTATGAATAATTTTTTTACCGGTGGTATTACTATTTGATTTTATTTTGTAATATTTGTATTTTTTTAATGTTTAACCTATTGGGCACAATAACAAAACTATGCTAACATGGTTCGGAAAAATCATTTGACACGTATCAAAACTGAGGCACCAAAAAATCTTTATTTGTGCTTCTCTCTTTGAGCACGAAAGACAATATTGTGTCTTATGGTCAAAGGGCGCGCCAATAGAGGGCACACATAATATTTAGTTGTTATTGTTTTGAACAAATGATGTTATCATACTAAGGATGAGAGGATGCGTTTAGTCTCACAATAGGCTAGAAATAATATGGTTCAAATTTGCTGGAGTGTTGCTATTGTTAAAGAAAATATATATTGGTGTCCTTAAGTCTCACAGGGCACAATACTGGTCATTTCTCTTTGTAGTGTGATTGTTGCAGATGCAATGAAGTAGACTTCCGGCAAGTACTTAATCCCACCAACGTTTGCGCCTCTTTCTCTGATGGTGCACCTCAAGACCCTCACTGTAAACGGATACAGAAGATGATCAAAGGGTTTCAATTGTCAAGTTGAAATGCCAAGTGAATTATTATCCAGTGTGCTTCTAGGGTTCGGAAAAGAAAAATCCTCTTCCGTTTTAGAAGGTGATCGGTCGTTTCCAGTTTGTTTTTCTGTGGTATATTTTCTTGTATCAACTTTCGATAGGTTCTTTGGACTCTCTGGGAATTCGATTATGGACTTACCTATGGTGGTGATATAGAAGGGGCAATATATGACTGTTTTGCAGACGTTGCCATTTTCGTAAACAGTTGTTATTCTAGTATTTTTCTAATGCCTTTTTTCTTCATTGTTCAGTTTTAGTGTAAAAGTTTGAAAATATTTCCAGTGTACGTTGTAGCATAGTTTCCTGAGGTGAGAAGAAAATTCCAATGCCTGTCAGATTTTGGTTTATCAATCTTCTGAGGTGAGAAGTTTGGAAGCGGAGGTCAATGATCCTCTCAAGGCAAACTTGTGGGACAAAGAAAACTGATTAAGACTAATGGTTAACATACAAACATTATAATCAGAACCCTTTTATTATAGTTATACGAAAAAAATCATTTAATTTTGAACACCATTTAGTCATTCATATGCATCTAACAAATATATGGTTTATTATGAGGATTATATTGTATATCAAAAGCGTTGATTGGTTTGATACGCATGAATGACTAATTGATCTTCCAATTGAATATTTTTTGCATAGACTATCTTTAGATGTTTAAAAAGAGAATGAACGATTCTGATTACGATTTTTTTTAATTTATTATTATTAAGGGGAGGGGGTAGGGTTTGAAATGTCACATCCCGGCCCGGGCCCCCACCACATTTTGGGCTCGACTCCATCGTAACATGATATTGTCCGTTTTGGGCCCTGACCACACCCTCACGATTTTGTTTTTGGGAATTCACACGAGAACTTCCTAGTGGGTCACTCATCCTGGGAATGCTCTCACGTGAACTCACTTATCTTCGAAGTTCCTACGGAACCCGAAGCCATTGAGCTCTCAAAAGGTCCCGTGCTAGGTAGAGCTGAGAGTATACATATAAGGCTTAAAGATCTACTTCCCTGAGCGATGTGGGATGTTACAATCCACCCCCTTATGGGCCCGATTTCCTCGTCGGCACACTCGCACAGAATGACAGAGTGGCTCTGATACCAAATTGTCACATGCGGACCCGGGCCCCCACCACATCCCGGGTTCGATTCCACCGTAACACGATATTGTCCGCTTTGGGCCCCAACCACGCTCTCACGGTTTTGTTTCTAGGAACTCACACGAGAACTTTCCAGTAGGTCACCCATCATGGGAATGCTCTCGCGCGAACTCGCTTAACTTCAGAATTCCTATGGAACCCGAAGTCAATGAGCTCCCAAAAAGCCTCGTGCTAGGTAGAGATGTGAATATACATATAAGGCTTACAAGATCTACTTCCTGGGCGATGTGAGATGTTACATGAAACTACTACAATAATTAAGGAAGGAATAGTTTTGAACCTGAGACCCATGAATTTCTATTATGATGTTTGAACGGTGGAGATGCGTTAATCTCAAGTTATGGGACAAGCCGATTCTCATGGGAGGGACACAAGTATTTTCTTACAGTAAGGAGTGAAGAATAATTGGTATTGAACATACCATCCACGAGATTCTAAACTTAGACCTGTCACTTGTAACCAAGTGAAATAGAATAATACTTTACCATAATACTAAGTGGCAAAAAGGGCAAATTAAAAACATCGAAATTCTCTCATGCGGACTCTAATAGTGTTTTCTTTATATGAGGGCGAGTGATGGGTTAATCGACTGTACACAATTGACACCTAAGACTATCTCCAATCCTTGAGTTAAAACCTAAAAATTTTAGCCCAGGAAATTTAAATTTTAACTCAAAAACAAATTTTTTATTCCAACCATTCTGGGTTAAAATTTTAGCCTTAGATTATTAAAGAATGAATTTAGGTTTTTTTTCTTTTTCTTAAAGTAACTTTTTTAAATGAAAAAAAATTATGTAGACTATTCTAATTTAATTTTATGAACATTTTAACCTAAAAATATTTAGATTCCAACAAGTATTAAAAAATCACTAATTGACATTATGAAACTCGTGAAATACTATGAAAGAATATGAAATACATAAAAGAATTTTTTTTTTAAATTACTTTAGCTTTTAGATTTAAATCTGAACCGTTAGATTTTGTCTTTTTACTGTTGGATTTCATCAAATTAAATCTTAATCGTTGGATTCAATGAATTTATAACTATAAAACTAAAAAAATATACATATATGATGGGTCAGCCCCCCATTAACTCAGGAGGAATCTTGAGCTACATTTTGCCCATAAATGAGTTTTGAGTTTTAACTCATATTTACCCCAAGGGTTGGAGCAAGTTGGGATAAGTTTAGAACCTAAATTTTGAGTTTTGCTTCAGGGTTGGAATAGGTCATCGTCATTGGGGTTTGCATAAGTTTTTTCATGGCTATTTGTTGTGTTCGTGGGGTTTTTCCCAAAGTAAAACCATTGGCAGAGGGTAGATCTAAGATATTTCATTTTGTACAAGATGATATGTATTAAAAAGTTTAATACTACTTTAATCTAATTTAGAGAAAGTGAGATTTGAACTTGAGTGACATGGGACGGGCCAATTATCTGGAAGTTCTATGAGTTGATTGGGCTTCAATTATGAGCTTGTGAGGAACTAAACATACGCAACAAAGTATTGTAAGAGCAACTCCAGCGTTGGAGCCCTCCCTCCTGGCAATACACTATTCAATCCACCTAATGAACAGTAATTGCCCTTAATGAACAGTAAGTAGCCCTGGCAATAGATTTTGCATCTCCACCGTTACACTTCTATAGCCCTGGCAATAGGCAATAAAATATTAGTATTTTTGTTATTTATAAAATTAATACAAAATAATTTTAAATGTAATATCGGATAAGATTTTTAATCGTTCTCGTTGCGCCACGTGTCATTATCCTAAGTATTATTAAATAATACAATTTTTTTTACAATTTTTTTCAGATTTTTCAGATATTTTTTTGAATTTTTTTGAATTTTTTACAATTTTTTTTAAATTTTTATTCAATTAATTAATCTCTGCCGTTGGATATAAAAAAATTTGAAACACTCCAGATTGTGCCACGTGTCACAACGGTAACTTTTCAGATTTTTTAAACTATTTTTTCATTTATTTTTTAATTTATAAAGCATTTTAATATCTACCGTTGATCTCAGATCGAACAGTGGATATTAAATCAGACACTTTTTTTTTTTTTTACCGTTGAGATCTAACGGTCCACATTAAGTGACCGTTAGGATCTAACGTACCGTGGGAAGCCACGTGGCTTCCCAACGGTAACAGACAAAACCTTTTTTTTTTTTTTTTTTCTGATTATTGTGTCAGGACGCGCCCCCACGCGCGGGTGGGGTGCACGCGCCTGACACAAAAAAAATTAAATAATACGCTGACGCCACCCTGGCGTCAGCATGGCGTCATCCCCACCTCGGGCTCAAGGCCTGTCAATTTCTCACGGGCCTGGCCCTCGGGCCTCCCCCTTCCCCCCGGCTCCCCCACGCTGGAGCCAACCCACCTTCACTCGGGCCTCCGTTTTGGAGCCCGTCCCCCGAGCTAAACCCCACGCTGGGGATGCTCTAAAGACAATCGCATTGATAACAGACGGGATGCATTAACCAAAAAGCTACTAGATGACTAGTGGCTACCACCCATCGATGAATTCCAAAGGACCTTTATGCATAGGAAAGGACTGCGACCCCTTTGGTATTAAGGTTTAGTTTTGATTGGAGCATGTGTACAAATACAACTCAATAGCCAAAGACAATAATAAACTTGGTCAAAATATTTCAAAAAAAAAAAAAAAGAAAAAAGAAAAAAAAAGAAATTGTGCATCTGCAAAGAACCCTAGGGAGGAGACAGCGATTGGGATGATGATGACAAACTACCAAACACACACAAATTGAAGTAAATTTGGGCAATTGTGGTGGATTTACGAGGAATTGAGAGCCACCACTCAATCAATGCGAGGAAATGATGGAAAAGTCCATGGCAGATGATGGGCACGTGGGCATTGCCAGACCACTCATCCACATCTCTTACACATTCGTAGATAAGCTTGTGCCCTTTTACATGACAAAAGACTCCATCTTCGACTTGTTTTTCGAGGAACCCGCCTTTTTGGGGGACTAGTTGGTGGCTTTATCACGTCAGTTTGTTCTTTTAGAGATCTTGAAGACTCACATAGACATTTTAGCCTTTACCTGACCACTATCGTATGATTTATCAACGTCGGGGGTTTAATTTGTGCTTAGGGAAGGAGCAAGGTCGTGTCCTCCGTTTTTCCTTCCTCCACCACCATTGTGAATCTGTCTAGATGACAACTCTCTCTCTCCCACTCCACCCAAACCATCCTGTCATTGTTGGTTAACCAACATGATCAGTTTTAGACCCAGCTTGATTGGTTTTGGTTAGCAATTTTGGCTCGACATAG